TAAAGCCGACATGCTCTTCTTCCTTGGGACAAAACAGAGATTTCCCCCTCCCCCATTGATTTGCTAAAAAATTAAGAGCATCTCAAGGTTTAAGGCATCAGAAACTGCAGGTACACATACTGGGGTTTCCAGTTGCAGGCTAGTAGGGTGGGAATGTGGACCACTATGATATGAAGTGCCTGTATCCTGAACATTACTGGCCTTGCTCTGTTTTTGTCTGGAAGTTGCAGCAACTCCACAACCTTACATTGCTGTGGAGGTTTTAGATTTTGATGAAACTCAGGATTCGGATTGGAGGGGAATAAGTGAATCTCGGGTATTCTTAGATAAAGTGTGCTAAGTGCTGAGCATGACATGATTGAGATACCTTGGCAGTGGCAGCTAAATCACCATTGACCTGATTGATAATGGAGTAAGTGAAGAAGACAGCATAAAATGTTTCAGACTACCTAGCTGTTATGGTGTGTTAAAGGCAAAACAGCTTTACAGATGTTACAGTCTGCCCGTGTTTCATCCATGAGTGTGGAGGGGCGGCTGCTGCTGTTAGAAAGTAACGAATTTACCACGGCAGCTATTTATTGAATTACTGTGGTTTCTGCTGGATATGGTGATCACAGCCTTCGTGCATTCACTGTGAACTTGGGAATGCTTTGGCAGAAGGAGAGAACGTGCGTCAGGAATGCATTGTTGGGACAGAAAGGGTTAAGGAGCTGGCTGCTGGCCACAGCCTGTGAAGTGAGACCAGAGGGTTCTGGGTTTTTTTTTTAGCTTCTGCTTTTTGTGTTTTCTGATAGAAGAGATTAATGTAAAAGTCTCTGGATGAAAATCCACAGCTGTTGCTGTACAGGCAATTACCAGTAGTATCATTACAGTCCCATTTGGCCTTGAATCCAGGATTAGGGGGAGTATAGTTGTTTACATTTTCAGCCTACTTCTGTTAGTTAAGAGGTTTCTCATTTTTATGTGATAAAGAGTAAAGCTGCATGATAAATCCATGACCAGTCTTGCTTTGTATCACAAAGCACTTTCTTGGCTGTGTTTAGCTGGGAGTGCTGTTGTGGGTTCTTTGTGTGCAGAAACTGCAGACTGCAGAAGAGAGTCTTCAGTCACTCCTAGCCCTTGATTAGAGCCTGTTATAAGCACTTTACAGAGTGAGGCAAGTATTGCTGTCTGTGTTCAACAGCTGGGGAAACTGACAGGGCAGGAAAATGGTTCACCGAGAGAGTCTTGGAGGTAAGAAGAGATGTCAGCCTTGTAACATGTCCCCGAGTAACATGCCCTAGACCCTGCTAAAATGACCTGTCCAGAAGGCAGCTTGCAATGGTCTGCATTTCCTAAACCTTCAGTGCTGTGAGCACTGTCTCTTCTTACCACTTAAAAATCCCAAGAACTGAAGTCTTACTTTAATATTAACAATCTGGCATTTCCCTGAACAAAAGCCTTATGTTACAGGCAACCTATACTGCTGATTTGATTGTCTTTTTGTACTTACAAAGTAAGAAGCTAATCGACTGTCAGAATAACTGAAGGAAGCATCCCTTATTCTTCAAGGTGATACATGTATGGGTCCCCTCCATCACAAGGAAGTTTTAAATTGGGGAGGTTTGAAGATAAGGTTTGTTACGCAGCCTTTGGGCTAGTCGTGAACATGGGAAAGAGCACACTCTCCTTCTTGCTGGGTGTTGCTCGTTCACATCCTTGCCACTGCTTCAAGAGGCAAAACAAAACCTGGGAGCTGCTGTACTGTTTATTTCACCAAGTGCCAGATGCTGGCACTTCCTTTCTTTCTAAACTTATGGTGGTTTGCGGTAATGCTGGCTCTCATAGTGCACTCGTTCCTAGCAGTGTGCAGATGTTTCTTGTCGGCTTTGGCCATCTTTCAGGGCTATAAATATTGCCTTTAATAAAGTGCAGTGGTGAAACAGGCTTGTGATTTATCAAAGAATCAGAACTGTAGGGTGGTAAGGACCTTTCCAATGCCCTTGCCATGGTGTGTGGTTTAACCCCAGCTGGCATCTAAACTAAGTACCATGCAGTCATTCGCTCACTGCCCTCCCTCCCCCCGCCAAGTGGGATGGGGAGAAGAATCAGAAAAAGGGTAAAACCCATGGATTGAAAAAGAGCAGCTTAATAGTTGAAATTAAATAATAATAATATAAAAAATAATAATAAAAGAATAAAGCCCAACAAAAAAAAAAAGTGATTCACAATACCATTGCTCACCACCCTTTGACCAATACCCAGCCCAACCCGAGCAGCGATTGGTAGCTCCTGGCCAACTCCTCCCAGTTTATATACTGGGTATGACGTTCTGTGCTATGCAATACCCCTTTGGCTAGTTTGGGTCAGGTGTCCTGTCTCTGCTTCCTCCCAGCTCCTTCTGCCCCTCCTTACTGGCAGAGCATGGGAAACTGAAAGTCCTTGATTTAAAGTACTACTGAGCAACAAATAAAACATCATTGTGTTTATCAGTGTTACACTAAATCAAAATCACAGAAGTGTACCAGCTACAAAGAAAAAAACCCCACTCTATTCCAGGACTCATGGGCAGGGACACCTTCCACTAGACCAGGTTGCTCAAAGCCCTGTCCAGCTTGGCCTTGAACACTGCCAGGGATGGAGCAGCCACAGCTTCTCTGGGCAGCCTTTGCCAATGCCTCACACCCTCACAGTAAAGAAATTCTCCCTAATACCTGATCGAAATCTCTCCTTTGTGAGTTTAAATTCACTCCTGCTTGTCTTCTCAGTATCTGCCCTTGTAAAAAGTCCCTTTCTGGATTTCTCGTAAGCCCCCTTTAGGCACTGGAAACCTTCTCCAGGCAGAACAATCCCAACTCTCTCAGCCTGTCTTCACAGGAGAGATGCTCCAGCCCCCTGAGCATATTCTGATCATCTTCATAGACTTGCTCCAACAGCTCCATGTCCCTCCTATGTTCGGGTCCCCAGAGCTGAATGCTTCAGGTGGGGTCTCACAGAAGCAGTGTGGAGGGGAAGAATTGCGCCCCTTAACCTGCTAGTCTTGCTTCTTTTGATGCAGCCCAACAAATGGTTGGCTTCTCATCAATCAAGACCCCCAAATCCATGCCCTCAGGGCTGCTCTCAATCCGTTCTCCACCCATTCTATATTTGTACTTGGGATTGCCCCCACCCACGTGTAGGTCATTTAAGAGTGAGGCTGCAAAGTGACATGGGCTTCAAAGCAGCATTTGTGCATGGAAGAATATGTGGATGTGTTAGCTCACCTGGTTATCCTTTCCTCTTGTTATAGCTGTTGGAGTCATGCCTGATATGAATGGACGAAACATTGCTTGGGAAATGTGTCATAGGATTGTGAAATTTCTTCACAAGTTTGGAGTAGACAAAAGTTTTAGAAAATTTCAGATATTGGCTAGTATTTTGGAGCTTTTTTGTTTTCTAGGGTAGCTGGTGGTCAGTGATGTTAGTGCTGCTGGAATTGTATTTACGTTATTAATTCCCTACTACAGTACTGTGACTGAGCCACTTCTGTTGTAGCACCTGATCGTTTACACTGAAATAAATGCAAAATCAAATCTCCAGTACTTGTAGGAACAGGTTAGATATTTGTTTTCCCCAGCACCACACACCTCCTTCTCTTGAACCATGCATGGGAAGGGAGGTAGGGCACAGGTGGTGATTTGTGTGGAAGGAGGCATGCAGAATAGCAATTTTTTTTTGTTTTAAGCTCGCCTGATCTTTAAAGGGTTAATAAGTGGCTATCAGACATTGCAGTAAATGGCTGGATAATTGTTACTGGAGCGCAGTGATCGGTTGTTCTAACTGTGGCTTGTCAAGCCCGAAGATTACAGTGGTGTATGAAACCATGGTATGCTGAATTGTTGTGTTTTAAATCATCTTTAACTCATTCCACTTGTGTCTGCCCTGTGCATGACCTCTGCTGATCGTTCGTTAGCCCTGTGTAAATGAGGATTTGGTGAAAATAATTTCTGTATAGTATTTTCTTTTTAATAGGAGTACCATCATGCACACACACACAGAGCTGCGGTTTTGAAAGTATTTTCATGCAGTGTCAGAGAAGATCTTCCCAAAGTTAAAAGCCTGCCTGTGTGCAGGGGTGTGTACCTGTGGGTATGCTTTCTGGTGTGGAGGGCTCTTGCCATTCTGTGGGGAGAAGCAAAACAGGCACACAGCCCAGCCAGAGCTTTTCTGCTGTAGTAGAGGTGGGAAGAATCTATAAATGCATGATTTATGTAAAATGCCCTGGGATTGCCATGCTGAACATCCTGTCTTTGAGCAGAGAGTGAGGAAAATTACTGCAGGAGAAAAGGAAGCAGTTCTCCAGGCTGGCCTGGGTGACTTGTGTTTCCCATTCTCCAAACTGGGTTCCTTGGTCCGAGTCCTGCTTTATCTGTGGGATGCTTGCTGCTCAGGGATGGCATGGAGTTGCTGAGGCTTCTGTGGGTGTTATTTTAGATTTGGGGAATTGTATTGTTTCCAGGACAACTGGGGAAGAATAAGGAAGGGACCTGTGCTGAGTAGCTTGGAGCTACTGAGCACCCTGGCTTGCTCTCTGCATTTTCCCCTGGAAAATGACTAATGGCCTACTTTTACAGGGGCCCCTTCAAGCCAAGGAAGTGATTGGGTTAAAAAACACTAGTGCAAGAAGCAAATGAGGGGCCAGTGTTGTCAGATGCAGCTGTAGACAGATAATAGCAAATAGCTCTCTGTGAAGTGAGCACAGGTTGTGGATGCTCATCACTCTCAGAAGGTAAGTGCAGGGCAAAATGTGTTTCTGAGCTGGAAGGTCCGTATTTGGGTCTCTGTGTTTAGCTCTCTTAACCTCTGATGACTGCTGAATAAACGTCCTTCTACACAGCTCATTTAGTTAAGTGGAATTTGCTATATTGTGTAATCTTGTCTCTATACCATTAATTGCCTTCTATTCTAAGAGTAACTAAATAATTCTTGAAACTGTAATGTCATCTTATTTCTCTTCTTTCCATATTTTTTCCATCTCATAGCAATGCTGAACTGCAGAGTGTGGTTTTAGACTTCAGTGCTGCCATGGGGAGCAATGAACTTCAGGAGAAAGATGCCACCGGAGCCCTTGGTCACGATCTGAGCAATGGCAGCAGCAGCAATTTGGAAGCAGCCCAGCGCCTGGCTAAGCGCCTCTATCGTCTGGACAGATTCAAACGCTCTGATGTGGCAAAGCATTTGGGTAAAAAGTACGTGCTGATACAAGGCCTTTGGCCACATTGTTGTTCTTGCTGGCTCTGGAGGGGTTCACTCAAATGATAACCTTTACTTATTTGTTTGTTTAAAGCAATGACTTCAGCAAGCTTGTGGCCGAAGAATACCTTAAGTTTTTTGACTTCACAGGCATGACGCTGGACTACTCGCTCAGGTACATCCCATTTGCAGACCTTACCTTCCTGTTTTAGTAATGGTGCTGTTGGGTCTGTTGTCCTGGTTCAGGAGGTTGCCCTGAGGGGGCTTAAGAGGGTGAAGAGAGGGATGTGACATGTTTCTGGGATGGAGTTTTTCTCTTCTGTTTTGCTTGATATGCTGCTGTATTCCAGAGTGCTGTTGGGGCTCTGGCATTTCCCAGAGGGGAAAAATCTTTGGATGGACCTGCTTAGACGTGGTCCTTGATGCAGTGGAGGTGGGACAAATGACAAGTCACTCAGTAAACAGAGGACTTGCAGTTTGCGAGGTGCTGCAAGGGAATGAAGGTGTTGCTCACAGCTGAGCCACACAGCTGTTTTGGCTGATGCCTTTTAAAGCTTGCTTTGCCTGGCTGCAGTGCACAAAGCCATGTCCAGGGTTTGATGTGGCTCTGCAGCCCCCCTTGCTGCATCCCTCTGGGGCACCCAAAAATGTGCAGAACAGCAAAAACTTCCATGTGGAAAATGCTGTGGAGAGTTTGGTAGCTGCCAGCGTGGGTGTTTGAAAACCCAGCCCTTCAATTTTCCTTCCTTCTTCCACTGAAATTAGGCCTCAGTAATGTTTGTTTTCAGTATTTTTTCTTAAGAGGCAGAATACCAAGTTTGTGTAGCAGTGGCCTGTTAGCATGGTTGCTGGTGTTCTGGTATTTGAAGGGATTTAAACTGAGTTTAAATCATCTGGCTGAAGTTACTCATATGCATTTATTGTTTCTAGTAGTGATACAAACCCAGGAGGTCTGCAGGTACTAGCCTGTCCCTTGCAAATGTGTTGCCAAGGGCTGACTCCATGAAACCATGGCAGACCCAATGGAAAACCTGGAGTCCTGCCTGCTGAAGGCGATGGAAAAGAAGTGTGAACTGACTGGTCCTGTGGCAACGGGAGCAGAGCCAAGCTGGAGCACTCACACAGCACAGGGTGGGAGCAGCCTGGGTAGTGGGAGATCTGCTGCTCACTCTGGGTTTTAGCAGCCCTGAAGTGCAATGCTAAACATACCCTTTTTTTAAATTGTGAAATCCAATACCTAATTACTTTGTAGCACATATTTAGGAAGTCTCTGCTCCCAGTAGATCTCTTGTTAATATTAATAGTCATGACCTTCTCTAAAATACGCCTTGGCTCGTGTGGGACTTAGACATGCCTGGGGTTTGCTGAGGTTTCAGGAGCAGCCGCAGCAAGGGCCGGCTGTATGCCCTCAGCATGCAGCAGATACTAGGGGACACAGCATCATCTCGAAACCTGGGGGAGCTGAGTCATGCTGCTTGGAGACAGTGAGAGGCAACTGCCCTGTTGCTGCTGGCTTGCTGACAAGCTGTGGTTTGTTAACCATTGTGAAGCCCGTGGCAGCAGCCCAGACCGATGCTATCCCCCAACTGTGTGAGGCCATTGTGCAGTGTGTATCACCGTTGGTCGCAGGGCTGGAACATGGGGAATGTTGTTCCTTCATCATTCTGATCTACTTCCACACCCTGGACTCACATCACCTATGAATCTCCTGAGTGCAACAGTCATGTCTTCTCAGGGCTGCAGGAGGAGAGGAGGTGAGACCATGGCTCCAGCTCCTCTCAGAGTCTGTCCTGGTCCTCCTGGTGGGCAGAAACTTAGCCGGTGTCCTAGGCCCACAGCATTGTGTTCTGAGAGCAAGGAACCTGCCTTGTTTATTTGCCAAATGTTGTTTCATTAGTTGCCTCTCTGAGGCTGCTTCCAGGGCGGTAAAGGTGCTGAAGAGGACGAGAGGGTGTAGGTCAGTGGTGTCTGGCGTGGGCAGGGAGTGTCACTGGAAAGAGCTTGAGCTGGAGGAGGAGGAAAGATGGCTAGTTGTCAAAATGTCCCATAGGGTATAAGGTAGGAAGTGAAGAGAAACCCTGTGAAAACTCAGTTGTGTCTACTTGTGAATTGGGTTACTTGAAATGCATCACATGTGAAATTAAGTTATTACCAGGCAGATCACACTCTGTATGGGTGCGAGATCATTGCAAGTACAGCCCATCTCTGACCTTACATCAAAGAGAAAAAATTAATGTTTATTCGTCCAGACTAGATAGATGTGAATGTTCCAGCAACATATTCCACACCTCTCAGATCTGGTGTTAGCTGTAGTCTCATGGGGTATTTAAAAATTGTCTATTAGGCATTTATTTTGTATGCTAGTTTGCTTGCGACCCAGTAGGTTTGTGTGTTCAGGCTTTTCTTAGAAGCATCCTGACAAATGAGCGTAGGTTGATACCACTGAGGTCATCTCTTGGCTCCAGGATGTGGGGATTTTGGGAAGTGCAGAAGTTCATCTTTGGTTACAAGGCAAGTTTTTCTATCAGGAAAAATAGCAGCATGGTGAAGAGGAGTGGTGGTGAAGTGTTGGATGAAGAGCAGAAGATGTATGTCCCACCTCTTTGCACAGGCTTGCTGGCTGTGTCTTAATGAGTGTGACCAGCTCTACACCCTGGCCTGTCATGAGCAGGCACCCAGGAGGGCCAGGCTGCTCCTGCTGCTGTTAAAGCTCATTGGGAAATGTGACTCTTCTGCTCCATTCCCCAGATGTTTTCTGCAGATTAGGTAGTCACCCTGCCCTCTGGGAATGCAAATGATTTCGCCCTCACCGCTCTCATAGGCGACCCTCCAGAGGAAGACTGCACCTTTTGTGTGGGCTCTGAGTCTGCAGAGCACTTACTTCGCTTACTCCCCTAGAGTAGCTCCTGCAATTTGGATGGGAGTACTAGTGAGTGCAAAGCTGAAAGATACAGGGGTGATAGGCAGTTACAAAAGGACAGAACACCCTGGATGTCTGTCATTCATAAGGAACAATTGCTTCAGTTCCTTCCCCAAAGAAAAATACTAAGAATAAGAATAGCTCTTTCAAGTAGTGTAATTGCTTATTAGTTTGTATATTCCATGGCTGAAAGCAGTGGTAATTTGTGCTTCATTTACTATAATGCTGTGATTAACTGCACGCAGAATAACAGCCCATTTTCCTAGGAAGTGTTCTTGGAACAAAGTATCTGGTGTAGGCTTATGACTTAGTGTACATTTTGCTGTGAATTGTGCTTTACTCTGTGTGCTGTGTGAGGCAAAAAACGGTTCTTGACTTTAATTTCACTTTTTTCTCGTCTTCTTTCAGGAGTTTCTTTAAAGCCTTTTCACTTATCGGGGAAACTCAGGAACGAGAGAGGGTTTTAATCCACTTCTCCAGCAGATACTACCAGTGCAACCCAGATACTATTTCTTCTCAAGGTAACTTTGTTTCTGATATGAAGGTCTTTGGCTGTCTCCCTTCATCTGTATGTGCCGTGCATGCCTGGGAGCTGCAGGTGTGTCATTGCCATGCCACATTATTAGGGTATTGAAACCCTCCAAATTCTCCACACATAATCATGCTAAGGCAGTGAAAAATCTGTAAATACAGATAAGAAAAGGCATTTAGGCCTCCTCAGTGTAAATCCTCAATTGTAGCGTCTCCAGACTTGAATGTCCTCAGCTGGGGTTTTCTGGTTTCTCTGACTTCCAGTGTATGTGGGCACCTGTACTCTAGCTGCACACATGTGGATAAGAATAGGTCCCATCTCAGGTGGAAGACAAGTTGTTCTCTTCCCACGTTCCATTCAGTGCTTGTGTCTCAGCATGCACTGGCAGCAGGCATGCCAGTTCTTGCCAGTTGTGGGGGTGAATTTTGGGTGTTGTATCCAGACCCTGGCACGTTTTCATCTCAACTAGCTAACATCAGTCAGAGTGCTGCCTCCTTGCCAATGTTTTCAGTCATTTTAGAAATGGATGGGGGAAACAAACAAACACACGGATCAAACCTGAGAGAGGTGGCATTGGAGGAAAGGACAAACTGTCCACTGGCATACTACTGCTGTGTTCAGCTGGCCATGCTGGCAGAGGCATGTGGCCTGGTGATGACAGTGCAGGCTGATGACATCATGAGAAAGGGAGGAGGGTGAGAAAGAGAATAAGCAGGGCTAAGCTGGACACAGTACTGCAGTTAGGGTCTCATGAAAGCAGAGTAGAGGGGCAAAATCACCTCTCTGCTGGCCATGTTCCTTTCGACACAGCCCAGTGGAAGGTTGGTTTCTGGGCTGCAAGTGTGCACTGCTGAGTCACGTTGAACTGGGTCATGGTCTGTTCATCAAATCCATAACCCTCCAGCTTAGAGACAAAGATCCATCCTCTGAATGCATTTGTGGTTTGGAAATGAGAGGGCAGGCTACTCTAGAGAAACGCATAGACCTGAACTGAAGCACCACAGCCCCATTTCAAGCTGCTTTAGACTTACTAGTGATAATACTTTTTCTCTCATTTCATATTCCGCTATAGTTCAGCCACATTGCTTGGGTGCTAGGGCTTGTGCAAATGTTTAAGGAAAATATGGTCCTTACCTTGGGGAGCATCTTTTTGTAATGGCTTCATCCTGCATAAATTTGAGCCTGTGATAGTCACACTGAATGTGAGATGTATCTATGCTCACCCCTTATTTCTCTTCCTTCACAATAAAGAGGGACTTTTGCATAGTCATTTTCTGGACTCTGCTATGGAGGTTTTTAAATACATCTCCCTGCACTGTGTGCATATCTCATAAATGACTCTGTCTTTATGACACCCCCGTGAGAGAAGGGAAGGTGACACCATGTGTTTGTGAAAAAGAGAATGAAGAAAATATTTTTCCTAGTATGTTCTTAATGTTTGTAAATTGACTAGAGGCATTTGGATTTTCAGAGATGACAAATGGCACTCTGGGCACTGTCACCTTCATTGTGATTCGTGCACAGCCAGTACACTGAGCTTTTAAAGGGTGCCTGGAAGTTCCGGACTATGAATTTGGTGTCCGCTTTTCCGAACTGTCAGTCTATGCTGGCTTTCTCAAGTCTGCAGCAGTGACTCTAAAGATGGAGTAAGGGATATAAACTGTCTCTTCTGGCTCATTGTGGGGGCATTTGGTACAGGACAGCCTTAGAACTCACTGGAGCGCTGTCTACGCAGTATGGAGCCAAGGCAGCATAAATAGCTGACGGAAATTCTCCCAGATTCAGTCTAATTGAGCCCCGAATGAGGAGGGGACCAGAGGAGGGGGAAGACAGGATACCATGTTCTACCCACTCCGCACACAAGAATTGGGGTATTTTATTCTTCTCTTTCTGCCCTGAAATAAATGGAGAAGGGGGAGTTGATTCAGGCTGTGCTATTGGTATCAGCAAGAAAAGAGTGACAGTGTGGTTTCCTGTCTAGTTTGCCTCATCCATGGGTGCTGCGAGATAGTTTTTACAGTCATTACAAGATGAAAGAAAGGCTGTTCTGTCTTAGCAGCTGTGTGATGACCTGACTCTTCATTTATTTAATTACGTGTGTTTCTTGATAGAACAGATTCACGTTAAGGGAACAGACTCAATTAGGCTACAAGGTTCAGTTTCAGCTGTTCCTGAAGGTCCAGTTGTGGGTTTGTATGTGACTCTGGTTATGTCTCTTTCTGCAGATGGAGTTCACTGTCTCACATGTGCCATGATGCTGCTGAACACCGACCTGCATGGCCACGTGAGTATGCACAGCTTTGTGTAGACAGCTCCCCTGACACAGTGGTTGGAGGGGGTGGCCTTCTGGCAGCAGAGTCCCTTGCTGGTAGCCTGCTGCTAATGCAGGTCTGCAGACATTTAACAGTGCTGCACTCCCAGGATGTCCTGGACAGGGCTCTCCAGCATGCTCAGATCAGTCGTGTAAGCTGGCATTGTGCCTGTCTTTGCTATGATGTGTGAGGATGCTCCTTCTCCTCTGGCCCCTGTCTTTCTGGTGAGCTTCTCATTCTTCCTCAGTTAGAGCCCCTGGCCAGGAAGCTGTGGTTGGGATTGGCTTCCCCTTTGCAGTATGTGAAAACATTTGGGAAGGCAGAAGAAAGAAGGCAGGTGAAGGGGAGCTGGGAATGTCACAGGGGTAAGGTGGTGTTCGCAGGCATCCAGTTGCACAGGGGAGATGTGATGGAACAGGAGCTTTGCGCAGCCAGGGTCGTGACGGGTTTGACTGGAGCCAAGAGAGCAGAGAGCAGATGTGGGCATCCTGAGTAGGAGCCCTGTGTTCCTCCACTGCCTGCCTGGGGGAAATAGAATTCCAGTTTGAGTCCTCTTAGTCATACTGGTACCTGTACACGGTGCCAGCAGCCCTAGGACATGTGTTTCAGCACCTATGGTGCAGTATACCTGCTAGGCATGGTACTCTCATGCTGATGGGAGGGTTCCTGAATCCTGGAGTCAAGAAGGAGAGGGGAAAACACAGCATGGCATGACATCATGCAGGAGCAGTGGCTTTAGCCAATGGCTTTGGGATTTCTGTCTGTTTGAGAGCCTTCCTGCCAAGGGCTTTTTCAGAAGGGCCTCAGCTGGGAGTTCTTATCCAGCAAGGTTGATGGGTTTGGCAGCAGGAGATGGAGGCACCCTCGGTCTCTCTCTCAGGGCTGTTCATCCCCTGTGGGTGCAGCTTTGCAGTACAGGTCATGAAGCTGAGGCTTGTATATGTTTCCCAGGGGTTTTGACACCCATCTGCTGTTAACTGAATACCTTTGTGTGAAAATGGTAGAAGTGGGAAGGGGGAGGGAGTTGCGAAGAATTTTTGTCTCTGAAGGCTGAGCCTTGCCTTATTGAGGAGCATGTCAGTTGCTGGGAGGGTGAGCTGAGGTACAGGAACATGTCCAGGTGCACCTCTTAGCATACACTGCTTCTGTTGAGCAGGCCTGAAACCGCCTGCACAGGTATTCCGCTCCCCAGAGCAATGAGCAGCCTTGGCATCCACACAGGGAGAAGTGGTTGTGCATCAGCCTGGCAGCATTTGCCGTTGATCCCTGTGATGCATTAGTGGGCCCTACAGTATTCATTAGTCACTGAAGTAAACTATCTGGCTCTGACCCATTGTTGCTCATGATGACTTGCAGCTGAAAGCTAGAATGATTCTGGCTGTTGCAATGTGTAACTTTGGAGGCTTATCCTACTTGCAGTTGTTAGTGTATTATGTGCATGCAGCCTTAATGTTTGCCAGACTTCTGCACTTGCGTTCTCTCTCTCTCTGAATTCCTGTAATTTTGCTCTTCCTCTTAATGCTTTGTGTTATTCCACATAGGTGGTAATATTGGGCGTTTTTGACTTTGAATGTGGCCCCTTGCAGATATGTACTAATTGCCTGTTTCCTAACAAAGATAATGATCTTGACCCATACTTACCATGATTCTGCCAGAGCAGGAAGCAAACGAGTCACAGGGCTTGTCTGCACTGAGCTCCATTTGTCGCTGACATACTCATCATAAGTGTGGACACTTTTATTTCACAATATGCTCAACTGCTTGTAGGGCTGAAGTGCAGCTGCTCTGCCTTCAGTTCACACTTTCTCTTAACTCCTGTAGACAAACTCTTACTTATCCCTTTATTTATCCCTGTCTTGCCACATTTCATTCTCTTTGCAACTAAACCATCTTTGCTATCTGTGTCTTGGAGATGCATGCTCGCTTCTCTGCAGGGAGGTCATCAACCAGAATGTGATCCTAGAGACTTTTAAGGTATCCCTAGACTGCAGGCACATCTTCTGGAACCTGTGTGGCACTGTGTGGAGATGTTAGCTTTAGTCCTGGAGCAAAACAGCCATTCTTCTGCAGTGCCGATTATCTCAGTGGGTGCAATGATCCTCACTGCTGTTGGTTTTGGTCAGCGTGGGGAAGCTGTGAAGTGCTGCGTGGAGGAAACAAACAGAAGCAGACTGAAGTCTGTTGCAGGGAGGAAGGAAAACATTTGCAAGTCTGTTAGAACAGCTGCAGCTTGCAGCCAAAGACTGCAATTCTAAGCTGTGTTCTGCAAGCTTAGCAACCAGAGAGCCAGGGTTACAGCCAGACTGTGTTGTCAGGAGCCTTCCTGATGTGGGAAGCAGTGCATCATTGTTCCGGTATTCCTGCCTGCCTTATTTCTGCTGGTCCATGCCAGCCATAGGAAGTGGGATCTTCCTCTGTGGTTAGATGAGGCTGATGGTCAAAGTTTGCAGGTTCTCTATCCCTCCCTGATCATACATTATGGAAGGGAAGTAGAGGATGTGCCATCCAACCTGTCATGTAAGTGTAACATTGAATGACCTGTATTACTAACTGGTGCCCTTCTCTGGGCTCCAATACTGTGTTAATTTGGCCTCTTGATCCTAACCCAAGTTACTGTCTGCACACAAAGGCCTTCCACCGTATTTCTGCAGCCAAGACATACCCTGACCATGGAGAAGTCATCTTCACATCGTTTTGACTGGCAGCAGTGACATCTTCAAAGATACCTTGGCTCTATTTTCCCTCTGCCTCTATCATGTTTAACCGCTCATCCCAGGCTGCTTCCTTTTCCTCGGATCGCTCTGGTCTCCATTTTCACCAAGTCAGCGTTGTCACTGCTGATGGCTCACAAGGCTCCCCGCATGCCAATGGTGGGACTTCCAGCACCCTGGGGACAGAGTACAGACACTTTCTCTAAGGGGTGATGGAGACTGGGATCCAAGAACACCTTAGGACAGCCTCAAGCCTCCAAATGGAACAGTTTGGGTCCCACAAGAATGTAGCCATTCCTTTCCTGTTTGTGGCTCAGTTGGGCAACTTTCATTCTGAGAATTAGACAGGAAGAGAGAAAAGGGCAATCCTATATTACGCTCAGGGCAGCCTCAGCCTAAGAATCAGAAAATGTAATGGCTGCTCCTGGGTTTCTTACTGCAACTCAGGGCAGTAGCTACTGGAAGGGAGCATTGAAAACTATAAGAAGAGGTCTGGAAAGGGCCTCATTCAACTGTTTCCTATGCCCCACAGCAGGAGCAAGTAGAGCTTTGCCATCAGAGGCCCTCTTGAGACATGGGGTTGTAAGGCACCATGCAGGTACCAGGAAGCTTATTCATCACCTCTTCGTAACCCTCCAGTATTTAGGTGTTATTCTTTTTGGATGGGTGGGTTGGACTTGGGGTCCAAATGCATCTTCCCTTTTTCTAACATCACAAAAGAATGCTTGTCTTTGGGTAACCTTGGGAATGCCTTCTCAGTGCTACCTGCCTTGGGCTTATATGAGAGATGGAGGTGCATTTCATCTGATGTTGCTTATTTACCTAATTTTGAAAAGCAGTAATAATATGATGCTATATTTCTCCACCATCCATTCCAGAACATTGGGAAAAAGATGACCTGCCAGGAGTTCATTGCTAACCTCCAGGGGATGAACGATGGCAAAGACTTCCCGAAAGGGCTGTTAAAGGTAAGGAATGAACTGCAGAACATGGCTTTCATTTTTCGTGAGAGATGGTTCAAAACAGAACACTTTGCTTGCATTTTCTTTATCTTAATTGTCAAGCACAACGAGTGATGGGCATATTTCTTCTGCAAGAACATATATAGGCTGTTGTTTTTGCTCTTGCCTTCACTTATTGAGACTTTCTGCAGCGTGGAGGGTTGAGACTGAACTCCATTAGGGCCAGCTCAAGAGCTGTGTATCTTGTAAGCTCATGCAGCCATACCGTCCCAGAGTGCTGCCTCCTGATTACAGTGGACAGAAGCAGCCAGTTGGTTCTGACTGTTGAATATGTAAGCTAATCCTGAGCTCTGCATATTTGGAAGGCATGTGTGTGTTTTCATCAAAGGTGCTTTGGGGTTTTCACGTTAAAGCAGGAGATGTAATTTCAGATTAGAGTGTATTGTCTGGCACAGGCTGCTTTGCTTCAGGTTTTGTTCATTAAGTTTGTGGCAGGAGTTAAATATGAAGAACAGGGAGGGAGGCTAAGCAGGACGAATCTTGTTTCATTGTCAGTAATAATGAGTGTTTCATTTCTCTTTTGTGTGACTGCTGGCATAAAACAGAAGTCTGATTGAGTGAAGACAGAGCACATACACTAGAATTCATTATATATATATTTTTCTTTTTTTTGGTAATGGAGATAAAAATAGGAGGTTGCTGCATCTGAGAGCTGACCCAATGCCTCCTGAAGTAAGTCAAAATAATTGCCCATTGTGAAATACAGATGTACCTGCATAGTACAAGTGGCAGACTTTGTTTTCTAGTATTTCTAGTTTCTTTAGTTTCCCTAGCCGCTTTGAGGAACTTTTTGTTAAGTCCTCCTCCCTCAGTTCTTACTAAGGGGTTATAAATATAAACTCAACCTCCTTATGTTTGGATTTAATGTCTTTATTTTTTAAAGCTGCTGACAAGAGTATTCATCTGTCAGCAGCAACACTTAATATTTTTCTTTTTCCGAGGATTCTCATTTCTCACTCTGCCATAGAGAGATATGTTGAGATTAATTTACAGACTAATTACTGCCCTTACTGAATAAATAGATCTCCAGACTGTGTTTAAATCACCTTCTGAGTGTACTGAGAAGAGACTTCCACTGGTGCTCACCTGCTGTTTGTTTTCCTGCTGAAAGAATTATGCAGTTGGGGCTGTATCTTGGTGTTTAACACTGACCTGCTAATACTGAGGCATCCTGGTTCTTTGCCGGCCCACCCAAAGCAAGGACTGAGGTTCAGGAGTGTTTTGGATGTAGCAGGGTGGAAGAAACTCGGCGTCAGTGGCCCACCGTATTTGAGGCTCTTTCCTGCATGCTGCCCTCATGTCTTGGGGGCAGAGGTGACACCCAGTCTTGGTCTCTCCTCCGGCTTGTCTAGGGTCTGCTGATGATCTGCCCCTTGTTTTTAAACTATCAGTGGAGGAGAGTGGAGTGAGTAGCAGTAATGTGTGTTTCAGAAGCCACATCACTGTGTCGGCAGCAGCCACCTTGCCACTATATATGTGATTACAAAGAGTTAGCAGAAATTAAATTTGCATTAGTCTCAATAAATTAAATTCACAGAGCCCTGCTTCAGCGCAGTGCCAAAATGCATATGGCTTGCCTGTGCATTACCAGTGTAGCTAATGAGCATCGGAGAGGCAGCGAGCCATCTCACTGCATCCTTCTCTAGCTGCCCGGAGAGGAAGGACCTTTTCCACAGGGTGGCACTGTGCCCCTGTGGGAGTGAGGTCCTAAGCACCCACTGGTGAGTAATGCGCATCCGTGGGAAGCAGGTGGGTTTCTCTGCCTCGCTGGCCTTTCTGCATCCCTCCCACCCCCGTTGCTCTGCTGCACCCCTCCATGAAGCTCTGTTTCTGCTGAGCCCTGGGGCAAAGCTGAGTCGTGCTGGAGGGGAAGGAAGAAGGGACACGTCTTAGCAAGTGCATACATCTTTGCAGGCAGTACTCAGCCAGAGCTGGAAAAGCTTTCTGCAGCACTTAATGTGGGCCCAATTCAGAGAGTCAAGGGTGGAAATACTGCTTGGGTCTAGGACAGTTGGCTGAAAGGAAGAAATCAACAGTTGCCTTCAGTCAATCCCACCACTCTTGGTGCTACTGAGCACAGAGTGTGGCCCTGAGCACTTATTTCGTCTGGATGGGAAGATATCCCTTCAAGGGGCAGGTATACCAACATGTGAGGAGGGATGCTTTTGTCTTCTGTGTGATCAGCTTCAGAAGACTTCTGATGTAAGATCTGTTTGCTCCTTTCTCTCTGCTCTGTGAAGGAGCCATCTCTTTGGGTTTTTTAAGTTTATCCCAATAATAAAGACACTTTGATAAACACCATAGGGCCTTCAGGACATGATTCTTTGCGTGTCTGATAGTGCTGATAGTGCTTTGAGAATAGAGGTTTTACTCTAGCAAGAGATGGAAATGAGAAATGCTGATATATTACCTTGTTCACCTTGTGTCTTGCTGCCTGTTCATTAACACTGAAAAGAGTTTCACTTTGGTACAGCCATCTGCACAAAGATTCATCTTTTTTTTTTTCTTCCTCATTCCTTTTGTCAGATCTGAGGTTGCCTTTAAAATTGGGACCCATAAAGGCAAATACGCCAAACGGTGATTAAAAGTGTGGTTCTCCCCATAGGATCTGCTTGCAGTGTTTGTACATTCAGTACTTTGCCAGGCAGGCAGATATATGTACCTTCCCTTTTATTCCATCTTAGCTCCAGTTCATCTGTCTGTCACACATACCATTAATCTACCATCGGCTGCTAGAAAGGACTAGACATGGAGAGGGTAGCCTGATTTCCAGTTATGTACTGCTCTTAGGTGCATGCTGGTAGTTTATCCTTCCTACAGGGTTCCTATTTACATTCAGACTGGGGCAAACTCCTTGTAAATGAGAACCAGCATCCCAATCGATGATTCCCTTCTCTGGTGTAAATCAGGAGGAGCCTGTCTCAGTGGGTCTGGCTGATGTAGAAGGTGAGTCATATCTGTTAAATCCAGGCAGAATTAAGGTTATTGAAAATGAAATTTTTCAAGGGAAAGGAAGCTTCATGGAACTCTGTCCTTTGACTCTGAGCTGTCACACTCCAAACACACAAATAGTATCAAGCTGTGATCTGGCAAGATGTTCGTGAATCTCAGCCCTGATCTTAATCTTTCTTATACCGAAGGTCTCTGTCCTGGTGAGTTGAAGCCTTGGAAGGACTGCTGAATACCAGGGTCGTGACTGCCCATGTTCTAGTTAGTGCAGTAGTGCTCAACTGAGAATGGGCTCAGTGCTCAGTCGTAAGGCTGATGGTGAATCACACAGTTAACATCTTTTACAGGTGGGGATGAGTGACAGCTTGACTGGGACCAAGAGTAACAAAGGGACCCAGTTGCAGCACTCATCTTAATGGTTGGTATTGATGATCTGGAAGGTCTTTTCCAACCTTGTTGATTCTATGATCTCCTCAGACTGGAGTTTTCTGGCATCCTAGATTAGCTGCTGCAGATGCATTTGATGGTGAGGGAAGCTGGAGGAGAGATGCAGCACCATCATGGCTGAAAGAGAGCTGAACACATCAGAAACAGTTAAAACAACTAAATCCAACCTATGGGTTGTTAGGCTAAGAAAATCATGACGAGATCATTGTTCATTTATTCCTGTAGAAAAGTAGGATGTGGCTAGTGTCTCCCTACTTGGGAGATGAAATCTGTCTGGAGCAATATCAGGAACCTCATGACCAGCATAGAGGCAGTTTATGTGGAGGCTGATTCCTTCTGTGCTCACACCAGCTTTAATCTGGTGCAGTGATACTGTCTTCACTGATGATACTTTGGATTTGCATTTTGTGACCATAACCTTCTTCAAAGCTGGGCTTCATGAGATATGAGAAGAAGATGAGATTGGCTTGGAAAGAGCCTAATTTTGGCCATGCACACTTGCTTCATTTCCTGCAGGCATTGCAGTCCTCATGAATGAAGTGGTGACACAGTGCTGGCCACTGTGTCTTCCTTTGTCGCCTTGCCGGCAAGGGTATGTGAGACTCCACTCCAGCAACGTGCAGTGACAAGGCCTTTCTTATGCAAGGAGAGGAAATGTCTACTCTGGCCCATAGAGAGCCTGCAAGGAGTCACTTCTGGGGAAATGGATCCCTGCTTTTGTTAGGCAGCATCCTGGGAAGGGCACTCTCATTAGCCTGTGTGCTAAGTGCCACCTGCCCATATTGTCCTGTGAATGTAAATGTCCTCTGCATCTGCTGTAGCCAGGGTACCTCATTCATGGAGTCAAGGGCTTCACTCAGCTTCTGATGTGGGCTGACTCTAGTGACTGTGCTGCCCCACGATGTTTACACTTGCTGTAAGGGGGTCATATCTGTTTGTGTGTCTTCTGCTAAGAGGTGGTAGCTCTTTGTTGACCCATCATGCTATAAGGGAGCCTCTCCATCATGCTGAGGGACCTGGGATGGTTCTGCAGGGGGACTTGGCTAGAGCCATCCGAGCAGGGGCTGCCAATGGAGATAAGATTCCATTCCTGTGTAAAAGATCTGCTTTTTCTCAAAGGCTGGTTTCTGGCTAGCCCTTATCTCCTGGAGAAGCACTGTAATGAACTGACCAAATAAAGTGAAAGTTGCTTGTGCTGAATTCTTCTGAAGAACTAGTCCTCCTTAATTTCCTAAATAATCTTAATTCTTGATCAGGATTGCTAGGACATGGAATTTCCTTTAGAAGCTGCAAGGTAGGGTTTTTCTCATTTTGCTGTCAGTTCCCTGCACTTTAATTAAGGATTTTTTTTTTAATATATTCTTTTTGATATTGTCTTTCTGCCTCTTCTCTCTTTCCTCGTTTTTTTTTTTTTTTTTCTCTCCTGTAGAAGTCCTCCAAAGCAAACACTCAATTTAAAGAGAATTACTGGCATCCTGTTTCATGCATTCCAGTTATTTCAGGTATTTAGCAGAGAGAAGGGAATGAGCATCAGGTGTCCAACACTCCAC